TTGATGCAATAAAAACCGGGGTCTTTGGGCACGTCAGCAGAATCTGATTGATGCAATCAAAACCGGGGTCTTTGGGCACGTCAGCAGAATCTGATCGATGCAGAATGGGTCTTTGGGCTTGTCAAGACCCCCCCCTGTGTTTGTCGTGAGCAACTTTTTGTTTTGGGGGGGGGGGGCAGGACAATCTGATTGATGCAATCAAATCAAGACCGGGGTCTTTTTATCGGATCACTGTCGAGATGTGCCCAAGAGGATGGATTAGCGAGGTGACACGAAACGTCGTCGGCACAGCTAATGGAGGCGAAGTTTTAGGTCGGCACTATGCGGTAGAAGCAGCCCGTGATTGAGACGCATGTGATGAACATGCAAAATCACTTCACTAATTTGATATATTTGTCGGCCCGGATGGGGTCTGTGCAGAATCTCAAATCGGTTGATTGTTGGACTAAAAATGTGGTTCTGGCAATACTACCTTGTTCCCCCGAATACGACGTACGGTCTTTATAGCTGTATGTGAAGCATCTTTCAGTCTAGATACAGCTATAATGACCGTACGTTGTATTCGGGGAAAGAAGGTAGTACGTGAAATCAATCTGCCTGAACTCTATCAAACGTTCAATCTGGTAAATCCATTTGTTCAAAATGGTCATCATTTTGTCCCAACCTAAATAATCTGGTATGTCCAAAATGGTCATCAGTTCTCCCAAACGCATGTCATAGGGAATGGGGATCGCCGCTTGGGGGCGGGAGGTGGATGGGCATAGACGGCCTGCCGCTGGCTTGCATGTGGTAAGAAAATCTTGAGGACGAATTAAGGGTCAATTTCTTCCTGCAGTTTTTCTTTATATTTGTTTGCTTGTGCTTTTTTTTTTTCCTTTCCAAAAAAAAAAAAAAAAAAAAAAAAAAAGTTATCACTTCTCGCACCCTATATATCGGCTGCTCAAATCGGTTTTGATAATGTACTGCTAAGTAGGGAAAAAAAAAAAAAAAAGGAAAATTGAACTGACCAATTCGGTTTGAAGGCTGTCCAATTGAATTTTCATTTTTCATTTGTCCAGATCGCTTCACCTTGATTCCAAATTACCTGGTCAAAGGAGTAAAAGTTGAGAAAGAAGTTAACCTAGGTCCTAGGCTACCAGCCGGGACGCCCGGGTCACCCTGTTTTCCCGGACGGCCCGGCCGTGCAAGGACCAGGGAAGGTCCTAGCAAAAAACAAAAACAAAAACAAACAAAAAAAAAAGCGAAAAAAAACTATGTTATGCAGAAAAATAAACTGAACAACTTTTGCCTCTGGGTCACATCGAAATTCTTTACCCAAAAAAATGAACGTAATTTTTTTTTTTTTTTTGGCCCGGCCGGGCAAGTGGTCCCAGGCCACTTTGGTAGCCTAGGAAAAGAACAATTTTTTTCTTCATCATTCTAAAATTTGAGAAAGAATAATTTCTGGTTTTTCGCTCGCCACGTCATCATCAGCCTTGGTCATGCACTCCGTCTCCCTCTCCTTCTTTTCCACCTCCGTCCCCTTCTTTTCCACCTTCCTCTCCCTCTCCATACTTTATCTCCGTACTCCATCTCCATATTCCATCTCCATACTTAATCTCCATACTCCATCTCCATACTCCATCTCCATACTCCCTCTCCATACTCCATCTCCATACTCCCTCTCCATACTCCATCTCCATACTCCATCTCCATACCCCAGTATTTCTATGCGTTCAAGCACTTCATCTCCCTCTCCTCCGTTTCCACCTCCTCCACCCTCCTTTCTCGTCCTGCCAAAGCCGACCTTATCTGAGTAGCCCACACCCGCCATCTTCTCTGTTACCTGCGGACAGAGCCATCTCCTCTGCTTTTCTCTATCGTCAGTCTGGCCTCGTCTTCCTGTTCCACCCTTCTTCTCCTCCTCCTCTCCTCTGCTCCTCCCGTCTCTCCTCTTCCTTCCCTCCTCTCTCCTCTCTGCTCCTCCATTCCATCTCTCCTCTTCCTTCCCTCTTCTCTTCTCCATCTCTACCTCCTGTCCTCCTCCTCCTGTCTTCTTCCTCCTGTCTTCTTCCTCCCTCCTGTCTTCTTCCTCCTGCTCTCGTCCTCCTGTCCTCTTCCTCCTCTTCTCTTCCTCTTCTCCTCCTCTCCTCTTCCTCCTCCCGCCTCCATATCCCCCTGTCTGATTGCTTGCCCTAGCTTATCTTGGTTGCTTCTGATGCCATGTCAATCGTCTTCGTGTTTTCTGCCATTCCTCCTGATATACTCAATCTCCTGTTACTAGTGGGCGTGGGTTTGGGTTACTAGTGTTGTAGTCGACTTTCTATAATATGAGAAGATTTCTTCGTTTAGTCGTTGTGTTGTTGTATTATTAGAATTTTCATTTTGTTTGATTAAATCTTCTCTTCACTCAAGGGCCTCGCTCTCCCCCACTTCCTCTCCTCCTTCTCCTCCTCTTCTCTTTCCGTTGGACTCGACTCCTTCCCTCACCTCCCCCTCCCCCCCCCCACCTCTACCCCTTCTCACGCCCTCTCGTTGTGACTCGTCTGTTCTCCCTTGCCTTACCTCTGATCAGATTTGCTGTCTGTTGACTACCGTCTTCCCCCGAGCACAATGCACCCTCATTGTGGCTGTATCGAACCGGAAAGATGACTTGTATACATTCATGATCAGAGTTTCTGAAGAGATTTTCTTTTTGTTCAAACCTCGTGCGTTGTGTTCGGCAGAAGACTGCAGTATGACCATTAAAAAAAAAGGAAAAAAAAAGACTGCAGTATGACCATTACCTGCGTGCTTGGGATGGGGTAGAAGTAGAATGGAGTTGAGGATCAGTGGGTGGATGGGGTTGATGATGGGGCTGGATGGATGGACTGTAACGAATAGGATGGGATTCAATTGGTCTGGTTCGGATGGATGGGTAAGATTGATTGATTGATTGATTGATTGATTGGTTGATTGATTGATTGATTGATTGGTTATTGGTTAGTTGGTTGATGGATTAATGAATTGATCGGTTGTTTGGTAGGTTGGATTGCTCGTGTTTCCCAAGGGACATTCTTCTTGAAATGGATGGTGTTAGTTTGTTAAATGCTCAAGCAGCTCCTACTTTAGCTTCACGTGAATTGTGTTTGTCCACCAAGTATGTGCACTTCAATGGTCGTAATTAGCTTCGAGTCAATCAATGCAAAACGGAAAAACAAATAAACAGTAGTAGAAAAAAGGCTTGAAGAGTGGTTGATTGGTCGCTTGATTGGTTGATGAATTGGTTCATTGATTGATTGGTTGATTGGTTGATTGATTGATTGGTTGATTGGTTGATTGGTTGGTTGATTGGTTGGTTGATTGATTGACGGTCTGGTGGATGAATTGAGTAGTCGATTGGTTGGCTGATTGGTTGATTGATTGGTTGATTGGTCGATGGGTTGATTGGTGGATTGATTGGTGGGTTGATAGCCTTGATTGTTGATGATTGGTTCATGCATCGGTGGATGGATTGATGGATTGGATGATTGGTCATTTTTTGTCTGGGAAAGCTTTTTGGATTGTGGGTCGATGTATTAATTGAATGATTGAGTGGCTCGACTGATTGGTCGTTTGAGATGATTAAATGGTCGAGCAGATTAGGTGTTTGACCTGTGGTTTGTTTGCAGGTGTTGATCGGTCTATAGATTGATTGGTTGGGTGTTTGGCCATTTTTCAGTTGGATATTCGAGCAGATTAGGTGTTTGACCTGTGGTTTGTTTGCAGGTGTTGATCGGTCTATAGATTGATTGGTTGGGTGTTTGGCCATTTTTCAGTTGGATAATCTCGATGATTGGTTGGTTGATTGGCCAGCTGGTGGGTGTTGTGATCGCGTTGATTGGTTGACCAATGATTCAGTTGATTGGTTGGCTGGTCGAGCTGATTGATAGTTTGAGCAGATCGGTGGCTCGAGCTCTGTGGTTGATTTGTTGGTGTAGAGGTTTTTCTTTTCTTCGTTTTTTTTTTTGTCTGTAATTCTCTTATGACAGGTGGACAAACCACTATCATATGTCGGTGTTGAGGTGTTTTTTTTTTTTTGTGGATGTTAGATCAGAAATAAATGGGCTACCTGGGTATGTGTGTGACACAGTTGTGCCGGTCTGGTCTATTTTTGGTCTGGTCTATTTTTGGCAGCAGAGACTGACGTCGTACAGATGTCTGAAGACGTGTCATCTGGTGACGAAGAGGATGTTCAGCGGAAGAAGAAGAGAAAGAAAAGGGAGAAGGGGAAGGTTGAGGTCACGCCAGGTGATGTGGAAGACACAGGGCAAGAGAGAAAGGATGATCAAGCTGCAGCTAGGGATGTCGTGGAGCATGGCAGGAAGGACGCACAAGAGGAAGGGGAAGCCAAAGAGGGGGTGGGTCTAAGGAGAGAGAGTGCTGAAGAAGGTAGTAAGCAGGATGTGGAAGCGATGTGCAAGGAGGAAACTGGTAATGGCAAAAGTGAGAAGAAGAGGAGGTTTGGAGGCATGGAGGGAGGAGTCGTGGAAGTTAGTGGCATTATGAGCCAAGTAGCTTTTGACACACTGGAAGTCTCGGAGTTGACGAAAAATGCAATCAAAGACTTGGGCTTCACCAACATGACAGAGGTAAGCAGTGGTCAACGTTGGTGTTATACATGACAATATATGCATGCTCCATGCAATGCCGAATGAAAGAGCTAGCGCGTGCGCGCGCGCGTGTGTGTGTGTGTGTGTGTGTGCGTGTGTGTGTGTGTGTGTTTGAAACCCGACAGTCTGCCCAGGATGCATTTAACTGGTGTGATAAGGACTCGTCATGTCACCCAGAGTTGAGCGATACCCCTGGCCGACTTTACTCACTCCCACCCTGCAATCCTAGGAGTATGTGTCTGTGTGTGTGTGTGCGCTTGTGTGCGTGCTTGTGTGTGTGTGTGTGTGTGTGTGTGTGTGTGTGTGTGTGTGTGTGCGCGTGTGTGTGCGTGCGTGCGCCCGTTCGTGTGCATGTATGTTTGTGAACAGGGTGTGTGTGTGGGCGTGTGCGTGCGTGCGTGCGCCCGTTCGTGTGCATGTGTGTTTGTGAACAGGGTGCCCTCGTGAATTAGTTTCTAGCAATGAGGTCGATAAGGACTCTCACCACATCGCCTAGAGTGAGTGATACCCCTGGTCGACTTTACTCACTCCAGCCCTGCAATCCTGGCACACACACACACACACACACACACACACACACACACACACACACAGAGAGAGAGAGAGAGAGAGAGAGAGAGAGAGAGAGAGAGAGAGAGAGAGAGAGAGAGAGAGAGAGAGAGAGAGAGAGAGAGAGAGAGAGAGAGAGAGAGAGAGAGAGAGCACTCGTGTGTGTCTGGGTGGGTGGGTACCTGGCAATGTGGATGGGCTTGTGACCAGGTTGCCCTTGTGTATGAGTTTGTAACCATGACGTTGTAATCCAGTGTCTTTTGCTGGACCATCTGGAATAGAGGAGACTGTTTTTTGGTCCATGTTGTGGTCTTGATGTTGGCCTGATTGTTTGTGCTTATATGCATGTGTGTATTGCGCAGTGGCTCTGGATGTATGCTTGTTTCGATTCCTCAGCTGTTGCTGGGGCGGGATGTGCTAGGTCCTGCGCAAACTGGGTCTGGGTAGACCCTTGCCTGTCTTATCCCTCCTGCAGACTTGCTGTATCATTCTTTTCTTCTCTTTCTTTTCTTGCTTTCTTTCTTTCTTCTTCTTCTTCTTCTTCTTCTTCTTTTGACTTGCTGTATCATTCTAAGTTTGCTTGTGTCTTCAGTTTCCGGTCTTGAGGTTAATGCGTGGCCAGTGGCTGTGCCCGTCTGTGGAGAAGGTATATCTTAGAGATAGGCTTCACAGATGAGATGAGATGTTTTTCTGCTATCTTAGCATGAACCTGGCCAGACAAGGCAGGCGAGGTTCATCCCTGAAATCCGTTTGAACTTCGTGGAGAGAAATTGTCAAATGTAGCATGCAATGTGTTCATACGACCTGAGGTATTTGTTAGCAAGTGCCAGTGTCATGCATACACCTGTCACACAGGAGGGGGGAGGAGGGGATCGCCTCTGTGACAGCTGTCTTCAGTGATGATGTTTCCCTTGTGACCTCTTGCTTACAATAGACAGATTTTTTGCTGTTGCTCAGTGTTTGCAGTGATGGTGTGTTCGTGTGCTCGTCTTCCTCACAACAGACATATTTGTGTTGTTGTCAATGTGGTTGCAGGTTCAAGCCCGGTCGATTCCGCAGCTGTTGCTGGGGCGGGATGTGCTAGGTGCTGCACGCACGGGCTCCGGGAAGACCCTTGCCTTTCTTATCCCTGCCGCAGAGTTGCTGTATCATGCGAAGTTCATGCCGCGTAATGGGACGGGTGTTATCATCATCTCCCCGACTCGAGAGCTTGCCATGCAGGTCTGTGTGACAGTCTGTGATCATACGTAATAATGTGTGACACTATGTGAAAATGTGTGTGGCATGTGTGATAATGTGTGGCAATGTGTGACATGGTGTGACATGGTGTGACAATTTGCAACAAGGTGTGACAAGGCATGAAAAGGTGTGACAAATTGCAACAAGGTAAGGTGTAACAATGTGTGACAATGTGCGACAAGGTACTGTGTGACAGTGCGTGACAAGGTAATATGTGACAATGGCTGACATTGTGTTGACAATGCATGACAATGTGTGACAATGTGTAAGGTGTGACAATGTGTGGCAATGTGTGACAACGTGTTACAATTTGTGTTGATGTGTGGCATGTGCTACAATGTGTGATAAGCTGTGATGCCGGACGGTGTGTGGCATTGAGCTTGTCTCTTTGTTGTGGTTATGTGTTTCATTTTGCGGGGAGGGTTTGGAGTCTGCTGGCAACAGCAAGCAAAGGAAGGATCGAATGCTATTGGGGAGGTGCGGACGGGGGTTTGGTAGCTTAGGGTTGAATTTGATTTTCCAGCTTTTGGACCTGACCATGCTAGTAGGGGGGGGGGGGGGGGGGGGGTCATTTACAATGCGTAATGCCTCTATACTTTCTGCTTTTTTTCCCTTTCCCCTGTGCATTTTCAGTAGCCAGGAAGACTACCGTCTTCACCTGAAACGATGAACAGAGCTGAGAGAAGCTGCTGACTGTTTCTTGCACACCAACAAGTGGACGAACGGGAAGAATCCGTTGGGGTAACATGAATCTGATCCACTTTTGAACCATGTTCATGCGAGTACCCCGCCGATCTGGCGGAATGGCACATGCGTATAATTGTTAGCAAACAGAACATGAGGTCTAATCCTTGTGGAATCAGATGAAAATAACATGGTTAGAGACTGCTCCCTTTCAAGAAAGGAAAAAAGGAAAGGGCAAGGATCCTCTCACGGGGTGCAACTGGCTGAGCGGTTTATGCATGTAACGGTCAGTAAATAGAACATGAGTTCGAGTCCTTGTGGAATTGGATGAACATAGTGTAGTTCGGGGCTATACCCCTTTCAAAGAAGAAAAGAAAAAGGGCAAGGAATATCTGAGGATCCTCTGGAACGCAAGAAACGGATCCACTGTTCCTTTTTTATTTTATTTTAGAGTAGCATGAATCTGATCCACCTTTGGACCCTGTTCATGCTAGTATGGAACCACTTCTGAACCAGTATCCATCGGTGGCTGTTGCACATGTTAGTATAGAGAACATGAGCTCGAGTCGTTTTTGGAATCAGATGAACATGATATATAACAGTTTGTCACAGCCCCTCGTTTGTTGTCCTCTTCTCCCTCTCTGCCTGCCTACGGTTTACCGGGCAGTGCTGTTTGACGATATATAAGGGCTATTATACCACCTCCGCCAAAAAGAAAAAGGTGAGGAATCTGAGGTTCCTATGGGATACAGAAACCGGATCCACTGTTTTCTTCTTCTTCTTCTTCTTCCCCCCCCCCCTAATCTACTTTTGGACCATGTTCATGCTCATATGGTGCCATGTCTAAAGCAGTATCCATCCATGGCTGTTGCATCTGGTTGGGAAAATTCATGTGTGTTGAGGGGCTGTTGATCGATAGTGCATCTGGTTGCGAGGCCAATTGCCTGAGTGGTTGTGGGTGGGTTTGAGCAGAGATCCTTGGGTGATAGAAAACGTGCTTCTATCTGCGTTTGGAATGGATGATTCGTTGTTGTTTTTCTCTGTTTTTTGCTGGTTGATGGACTGATCCTGTGGCTTTGTTGGTCGATTGCTTCAGATCTATGGGGTGGCTCGGGACCTGTTCAAGTACCACAGCCAAACCCATGGGATTGTCATGGGAGGAGCGAACAGGAGAACAGAGGCAGAGAAGTTGGGGAAAGGTGTGAATCTGGTCGTTGCAACACCTGGACGGCTGCTAGATCATTTGCAGAACACGAAGGGATTTGTATTTAAGAACCTTAAGGTGAGGCACGGGGTGTGGTGGGCACATGTGTATGCCTTGTTCTCTGTGTGTGTGTGTGTGTGTGTGTGTGTGTGTGTGTGTGTGTGTGTGTGTGTGTGTGTGTGTGTGTGTGTGTGTGTG